CGCGGTGCTGGTGTGTGTGCTGCTGGAGCTGAGCCGCGCTGCTCCACACGCGCACATCAACCGACTCGCGCTGTTTCCCGATAAAAGTGCCTGGTGTGAGGCCAAAAACATCACGCAGATCGTCGGACACACCGGCTGCACGCCACGATCCATCCAAAACAGGTCAGCCGCGCACACACACACACACACACACACACACACACACACACAAACTCACACTGTCTGAATTACGGGATTCTGGAGTCTCTCTCAGTGTTCGACTTACCAAAATAACCATCCAGAATAGAGTTTTATTGATCTAAACACTAACCTAGAGCGCCATCTGCTGTTAAACTCTAGCCTAGAGCAACATCTGCTGTTAAACACTAGCCTAGAGCGCCATCTGCTGTTAAACTCTAGCCTAGAGCAACATCTGCTGTTAAACACTAGCCTAGAGCAACATCTGCTGTTAAACACTAACCCAAAGCACCATCTGCTGTTAAACACTAGCCTAGAGCAACATCTGCTGTTAAACACTAGCCTAGAGCAACATCTGCTGTTAAACATTAGCCTAGAGCGCCGTCTGTTGTTAAACACTAACCCAGAGCACCATCTGCTGTTAAACACTAGCCTAGAGCAACATCTGCTGTTAAACACTAGCCTAGAGCAACATCTGCTGTTAAACATTAGCCTAGAGCAACATCTGCTGTTAAACATTAGCCTAGAGCGCCATCTGCTGTTAAACACTAGCCCAGAGCGCCGTCTGCTGTTAAACACTAGCCTAGAGCAACATCTGCTGTTACACACTAGCCCAGAGCGCCGTCTGCTGTTAAACACTAGCCTAGAGCAATATCTGCTGTTAAACATTAGCCTAGAGCGCCGTCTGCTGTTAAACACTAACCCAGAGCGCCATCTGCTGTTAAACACTAGCCTAGAGCAACATCTGCTGTTAAACACTAGCCCAGAGCGCCGTCTGCTGTTAAACACTAGCCTAGAGCAACATCTGCTGTTAAACATTAGCCTAGAGAGCCGTCTGTTGTTAAACACTAACCCAGAGCGCCATCTGCTGTTAAACACTAGCCTAGAGCAACATCTGCTGTTAAACATTAGCCTAGAGAGCCGTCTGTTGTTAAACACTAACCCAGAGCACCATCTGCTGTTAAACACTAACCCAGAGCACCATCTGCTGTTAAACACTAGCCTAGAGCAACATCTGCTGTTAAACACTAGCCCAGAGCGCCGTCTGTTGTTAAACACTAACCCAAAGCACCATCTGCTGTTAAACACTAGCCTAGAGCAACATCTGCTGTTAAACACTAGCCTAGAGCAACATCTGCTGTTAAACACTAGCCTAGAGCAACATCTGCTGTTAAACATTAGCCTAGAGCAACATCTGCTGTTAAACACTAGCCTAGAGCAACATCTGCTGTTAAACATTAGCCTAGAGAGCCGTCTGTTGTTAAACACTAACCCAGAGCACCATCTGCTGTTAAACACTAGCCTAGAGCAACATCTGCTGTTAAACACTAGCCTAGAGCAACATCTGCTGTTAAACACTAACCCAGAGCACCATCTGCTGTTAAACACTAGCCTAGAGCAACATCTGCTGTTAAACACTAGCCCAGAGCGCCGTCTGTTGTTAAACACTAACCCAAAGCACCATCTGCTGTTAAACACTAGCCTAGAGCAACATCTGCTGTTAAACACTAGCCTAGAGCAATATCTGCTGTTAAACACTAGCCTAGAGCAACATCTGCTGTTAAACATTAGCCTAGAGCAACATCTGCTGTTAAACACTAGCCTAGAGCGCCATCTGCTGTTAAACACTAGCCTAGAGCGCCATCTGCTGTTAAACACTAGCCCAGAGCGCAGTCTGCTGTTAAACACTAGCCTTGAGCAACATCTGCTGTTAAACACTAGCCTTGAGCAACATCTGCTGTTAAACACTAGCCTAGAGCGCCATCTGCTGTTAAACACTAGCCCAGAGCGCAGTCTGCTGTTAAACACTAGCCTAGAGCAACATCTGCTGTTAAACATTAGCCTAGAGCGCCGTCTGCTGTTAAACACTAGCCCAGAGCGCCATCTGCTGTTAAACACTAGCCTAGAGCAACATCTGCTGTTAAACACTAGCCTAGAGCAACATCTGCTGTTAAACACTAGCCTAGAGAGCCGTCTGTTGTTAAACACTAGCCTAGAGCAACATCTGCTGTTAAACACTAGCCTAGAGCAACATCTGCTGTTAAACACTAGCCTAGAGCAACATCTGCTGTTAAACACTAGCCTAGAGCAACATCTGCTGTTAAACACTAGCCTAGAGAGCCGTCTGTTGTTAAACACTAGCCTAGAGCAACATCTGCTGTTAAACACTAGCCTAGAGCAACATCTGCTGTTAAACACTAGCCTAGAGCAACATTTGCTGTTAAACACTAGCCTAGAGCAACATCTGCTGTTAAACACTAGCCTAGAGAGCCGTCTGTTGTTAAACACTAGCCTAGAGCAACATCTGCTGTTAAACAGTAGCCTAGAGCACCGTCTGCTGTTAAACACTAGCCTAGAGCAACATTTGCTGTTAAATTCTAGCCTAGAGCGCCATCTCCTGTTAAACACTGTGTGTTGTGTTTTTCACACTGATGGTTGTGTGTTGTGTTATTCAGGGCATGTCTGGGTCAGTGCTTCAGCTACAGT